AGCTCTGGTTCCTGTCCAGCTCTAACCTTCAGGATGTCTACGATTGAAATGCCTCAAACAGGGAAGGATTCAAACAGATCTCAAGAAGATTTCTCCTCTCTGGCAAATTTGCTTATCTTAAATGGGTCTCTTTAACCCACCTCTTTGAGTGCTGCTTCTGCCCAGGACGTGCTGAAGATGGGACAAGGGGCAGTGAGCACCAAAGGACCCCTGGAGGAGTGGCCTGCAGGACCAGAGGGGCTTTGGAGTGGGCATGAATGGTGTGCTCAGAAATCTCCCCGTGCACTTCAGGACACTGCAGGGACCATTACAGAGATCTCCAGTCAGAAGCACATGAACTACAGCTGCATCTGAGAGTACAGAGCCCTTGGCACAGCAAACGGGAATTGGGGATTTGTGCTCCTGCAGCTCTTGGTAAATGAACCTTGTAAATAGGAGAGAAAGGCAGGAGACCTTTCTGCTGCTTCAACTTTTCTGTTCTGTATTTTTCTACATGTTTTGACTTTGTAATTTGTGTCCCAAGGACATAATTTTGTCTTCTTCAAACTGTGACAAGTCTCAGATAAACTAATGGGTGACAAATGCTGTTTCCTAGCATTGACTAACCCTCAGAGTGTGGATGGCACCTGTGCAGTCTCCTGTAAGCAACAGTTTCAGTCACAGTGTGGTGGGCAGCTGCAGGTGCCATGTATCAGCTGACAGGGAATGTTTTGGCATTAGGAAGTAGAGCCTAAAATCAGAAATTCTCTCTCAAGTCTCTTAGTTTCTGCAGAAAGCTCAGAACTCTTGTTTAAAGTAATCCTCCAGTGATGAATAACATCATCAGTGGTTCCCAGCTTCTCCTTGGCTCTGAGTTTAGTCATGTTCGAGCTGCATCTTCAGGGAGATGTTTCTCACTGTCCCAAATGGACCTGATGCCAGCCAGCCTCCTCCTCCATATATGCCATTGTCCTGGATGCCTGTGTGACCCAAAACAAGATAGTTCAGCCAGCAGAAAAATTCCAATTATTAGTTTTCTGTTCCTTTAATGAGCTGAAATAACCATGAGTTCAGATCAGTGAATAATTCAGGTCAGAAGGGATCTCAGGGTTGCATGGCTCAACTCCTCCAAAGCAAGGCCAGCTTTGGAGATTGCTCAGAGCTCAGGTAAGCAACAAAGCTGTGGCACAGAGAGATGCTGCTTTACCCAGGAACAGCAAACTTGATTTTTAAATAAGAGAGGGACCACTTGATTTTCTGCAAATGGGTCTCCTTTCAGTGGCTTGTACAAGGAAGAAGAAGGTGAGGATGTCTCTGGCAGCTGCTCACTGTTGGGCTGGCACTGTCTCCAGCTGAGTCACACAATCACAGAATATCCTGAGTTGGAAGGGGCCCACCAGGATCATCCAGCCCAGCCCCTGTCCCTGCCCAGACCCCCCAACAATCCCCCCTGTCCATCCTTCGGGGCCGTGCCCATTCCCTGGGGAGCCTGGGCAGTGCCCAGCACCCTCTGGCTGAGGGAAGAACCTTTCCCTCATCTCCAGCCTGAGCCTGCCCTGGCCCAGCTCCAGCCCTTCCCTGGCTGCTGTCCCTGTCCCAGGGAGCAGAGATCGGAGCTGCCCCTCGGGAGGAGCTGCAGATCCCTGAGCTCTGCCCTCAGTGTGCTCTGCTCCAGCTGCACACACCCAGTGCCCTCAGCTGCTCCTCCTGTGGCCCCTCCTGACCCTTCACCATCTTTGGACACTGATAGCTTTAGATCCTTAATAATTAAGATGTAATAATAGTAAGATAAGATGCTGTAAATTGAAGGTTTTGGCAGTTAAAGGAGACCTGGGCAGTGTTTGGAGCAGTGAGATAATCCTGCTTGCTGGGCACAGCTGTTTCCACCTCTGGAGCTCTGTGGGTGCAGGCAGGGCTGAGTGCTGGGCACTGATCCCTGCATAGCAATCCCATGTTTCAGTCAGCCCATGGCAGGGGCTGAAATCCTGCAGGAAGGTAACAGGCACCTGAAAAGAAACTGCAGGCTCCTTTAAGAAGCATCCAGTGGTGCCTTGGGGATGAGGCAGAGTGTGGCCAGCTGTCATGCTGTGTTTTGGGGGCTGCACCATTGATGTGCAGGTACAGCTGGTGGGAGGACCCTGCCCTGGACCTCGTGGTGCCTCCTCCTCACACAGCTCAGTGCATCTGGTAGGGCAATAGAAATGTATTAGCACAGGCTGCTGTTTGCTCAGATTCTGGTTCAAATCCAGCAAAAAGCCAGGCAAATCTGCTGGATCGTGGGAGGATAAGACCTCATTTCATTAAATCACTTCAGGTCAGAGAAATGTCTGTGCATTGCATCAGTGTGATGGAATCAGCCCCAGGGAAAACATCAGTGCCTGTGCAGGGCTGTGTGCAGGGCTGTGCCCAGGGCTGTGCCCAGGGCTGTGCTCAGCAGTACTGCTGGGCACACAGCACCAATCTAGGTCACACTCTGAGCTGGCTGCACATTCAGATGGAATTTTGCCTCTTTCAGTGAACAGCCTCCCTTGCTGTGGCAGCTCCTCCATCCCTGCAGGAGCCATGGCTGTAGCAGGGAGCAGGGATGTGCTGCCAGGGGCACAGGCACAGTGGGAACTCCTCTGGGTGCCTGAATGACATGAGGTGTCCCATCATGGGATCTGCATGCACCCAGTTATGAGATTTTATTGCCCAAATCCCAAAACCAAGTTACTATTACATGTACTGTCTTTACAGCTGAAGCAGGCAACATATTTTTCTTGCATTTATTTCACCAAAAGATGAAATCACTTTTTAACATAAAATTATACAGTAAAAGCTTGCACCCCAGGACTTCATCTGACAGCAGTCTCCTTTTTCCTGGCACTGAGTTGCCACTGATGTGGTCCCAGCCTGGGAGCAAAGGGTGCAGTCCAGTGCTCTGCTACTGCCAATTTCCCAAATGCACCATTGCTCTGGTTTGTTACTAGTAAAAATGAGAACATGGCTTTGCCTCACAGCTTGTCTGTAGAATTCTCAATTTTTCCTCCACATGAGAGAAACCTCATTGTGGCACAGCTTGGTTTAGACACTGAGCATTGTGCAGATCTCACCCTGCCCTGGCTTCCACATCCCTTTGATATTTAATAGTTTCTTTGTGGTATGGACAGTTTTAGAATCATGAAATCATGGATTGTTGTAGGCTGGAAGGGACCATAAAGCCCATCCCATTCCACCCCCTGCCATGGGGACACCTCCCACTGTCCCAGGTGCTCCCAGCCCCAATGTCCAACCTGGTCTTGGGCACTGCCAGGGATCCGGGGGCAGCCACAGCTGCTCTGGGCACCCTGTTCCATTTTACTGTGTTTATCCTTGTTCTGTCAACTTGTGAGATTCTAACAGATGGTTTAATACAATTAAAACATTTCTCTGCTGAGGTCAGTCATTCCACACATAAAGCCACAGGCCCCACGATTCCATGATCAGCATCTGCCTTACCTGTGCCATTCCTCCCTGCAACTCAGATGTCACCTGGAGCAGGTGACACTCCTGGAACACCATCAGCTCTAAGAAGCTCCTGAGCTATCACATTCATTTTCTTAACAGTAAAACAGTCTTGCTTTTAGCATTAATAGCTCAGACAAAGAGCAGTAAAACTCTGTTTCTGCCACATGCCCTGTGTCTGCCTGACACAAAAAAGTCTTTATTCAGGATGTCAGATAGATCCTGATGACTGTGTGCTTCTTCCCAGATTCTGATAGAGAATGCTAATGCACAAAAGCAAGGAAATAAAATTAAAACTAAACATGCCCATATGACAAGCAGAATGGGGCTCGATCCTGGATGCACTGTGTGATTTGGGTTGGAAGGGACCTTAAAGCTCATCTTGTTCCAACCCCCTGCCATGGCAGGGACACCTTCCACTGTCCCAGGCTGCTCCAAGCCCCGTCCACCCTGACCTTGGACTCTTCCAGGGATCCAGGGACAGCCACAACTTCATTGTTCCAGGGAATGAATCCTTGCTCACAGTAACTGCTCCTAAAATCCTCATTACAGAAACCTTAAAAATCTCTGTATATGCCCACAGTTGTGACATCCTGGAATCAATCTTTTATTGCACTCTGTTTCCCTGGCTAAGACTTTTTCCCTGAACTACCAAGAGTGATTTCAAAAGTGTTTGCTTGTGTTTTTTCCTAATTCCTTGCCCCTGTGTTGAATACACATTGAGGTTTCCAGATGTGAGAAACAAGACATCCCAAAGATCACTCTGCAGTTTTCAAAATGCAGCAGGATTTTGGTTTGTTTCTTTTTAGCAGAAAATTAGAAGGAAATACTTGTCTGCTAGGCTGGGCCAACATATCTCTGGCCTCTAGCAGGATTGGAAAAGATGACTGACCAAATTTAGGGGATTTGTGGGCAAGTATACCAGAAATCTGTTTTTGTGATGGAAAGAGAGAAGATAAGAAGGAGCAGACCTGTATGTGAGAGGAGCAGGGCAGCTGGGCCAGCTGACATGAGCTGTTGCTCAGGGCCAGGAGCAGTAAGCCTTGCAGGCAGTGAGGATGGAGCTGGTCCCTTCCACTGCAGTTTGCTGGACATTTAGGGACAGAACAGATTTGACATCAGCCTTGAGAAAGGGGATTTCCAGTGTTTGCAGCTCTGGCTCTGTGGCTGTCAGACAGGTCTTGACTGATCCCTCCCTAGGAATGCTCTCAGAGCCTTTTCCGTGGCCATTGGCAGGTCACCACTCGCAGAAGGAAGAGCTGTAGGTGCCAGTTATTTTCAGGAAGGAAGGTGTGGCTGCAGGCACAATCCTTCTGGAGTTCAGCCCATGCAGGTTAAGCCCCAGTGTCCCCCAGCTCGAGTGCTGAGCCAGGGATCCGTGTGTTTGATTTTTACTCTGGCATGGAGAGCAGTCCCCTCTCCCAGGGGTCTGGGAGTACTCCAGGTTTTTCCATGTGACACTGTATAAAGATGGAGGCTGCTCTTGTTTTGATTCTCACCTGATTTAATTACATTTGCTTTTTCTCTTTTTATTTCAGTTGTGATTCCAAAGAGCCCTTTACCTGCCTCCGAAGTAAACTCGGAGAAACCTAGCATGCACAGTAGCACAAAGACTGTTTTGGGGCATCAACAAGGGCAAAGGCGTCGCAAAACAGGGAAGAAGCGTGGTCGAACGACCAAAGCACTAATCCACCACCCCATGCCTACACCCTCCAAGTCAGTGGAGCCTTTGAAATTCCCCAGAAAGAGAGGCCCCAAGCCTGGCAGTAAGGTAAAAGCTGATGCTGATGCAGGCGGGTGAACAGCAGGTGCTGCAGGTCCTGCCATGGGTTGGTGCATGCGTGTGTTTGTGCACGTTTGTCTCAGCCTCTGGCTGTGTGACTGCAGCAAGTAGGAGACCAGAGGGGTGTGTGGGAGCATCCTCAGAGCCCAGCCCTGGAGCTGTAGAGAATGTCTGTGTCCTAAAGATCATTTCCATCCAGAATCCGTGTCTTTGGAAGTGCATTGGCTGTGGAGTAGCATGGCAGATGCTGGGAGCATGACAGGATGGCCAAAGGGTAGAAAAAGCTTTCCTGTCCTTTGTGTGTGGCTAGTCTGAGTCGAACAGAGGTGGCAGATCCCAGGCTTGTTATTTTTCAGGGTTGTGGTTTATAAAATACACACATATTGATTACTAGGTTCTTGAGACACCCCGTCATCACCATCAGAAATGTGTCATGTTCCACAGTGCTTTGTCTGTTGGATGCAGAGGAGAGAGTGTAGTGATCATGGGTGGTAAAGGAGAGCAGTGGTAAAAGGAGAAATATCTCCTCTTTTTCTGCAGAGGAAACCTAGGACATTGCTGAACCCAGCACCCACCTCTCCAACAACCAGTACCCCAGAGCCAGACACAAGCACTGTGCCCCAGGACGCTGCTACAATCCCCAGCTCTGCCATGCAGGCTCCCACAGGTAAGGAGGGTCTTGGACCCCGTTCTTGACAGGATTGCACAGTTAGGAACTGCAGCAGGCAGACAGCAGCACCCTGAGGGTCCCATTTCTTCCTAAGCCTGTAAACCAGCAATCCTTACTACTCCAGAAAGGCTGGCCTGAGAGAGGCACATGAGTCCAGAGCAGCTGTTCATTTACCTTTCTATTGGAAATAATGAAGTAGGAAGATTGCAAGGCCACCTGTTGAGTGCAAGGACCCCTTTCCCCTGCATGCTGGTGACTCCACAGCTCTCCAGGTGCATTGTGCCCCTGTGTTGGGTGTGCAGCACCCCTTGTGAGCCCTGAGTGTGAGCTCTTCCACACCGTGCAAGGCACAGCTGCTGGAACTGCACAAGGGGCAGAGGAGGTGCTGAAGGACTGTGATCTGCCCAGCTCCAGCCAGGATATCAAGGCACACAGGGGCAGGAGGGAATAGGAGAGGAGGAGGAGCAGCAGTGAAGAGTATATGCACTGCTACAGCTGAGGATCAATCTGGTCAGGAAAGTCGAATGCAAAGCTGCTTTTGACATGTTGAGTCAAGCACTGGATATGGGCTGAGCCCTCTGTAATTGGCCAGTTTTCAGAGGAACCTAAAGAAGCCAGTTTCCCTAAAAAGGAAACACTGTGGGAACCCGCAGAAAGTGGGGACTGCATTCCTTCTTCACCTCTGAACATCACAGCCACCTTAGCTGGCTGTCATGGAAATCACTTTACAGCCTGACTGCAGGGGAGAGCATGGGAGAAACAGCAGCAGTTTGGAAGGTGAGCATGAGGCAGGAGGATTTTGGAGGTGATTCCCCTCTAGAAGCGGCTCCACTGTGAGGATGCAGTCAGGCAGTCGTGGTGGATTCCACTTTGTGAGTGATTGGACAGTCTTAAAATCTCAGCATCTCTCAGGCTGGATTGTAGGCATCTGTTTCTTGCTTTCTTGAGTGGGTTAATGGCAAACACATTTCTCATCTTGGCAGTTTGCATTTACTTGAACAAGAACGGCAGCACTGGGCCCCACCTAGACAAGAAGAAAATTCAGCAGCTGCCAGACCATTTTGGACCAGCTCGAGCTTCTGTTGTCCTGCAGCAAGCAGTACAGGCCTGCATTGATTGTGCTTATCATCAGAAAACAGTCTTCTCCTTCTTAAAACAAGGCCACGGGGGAGAGGTCATCTCAGGTGAGAATGAGCCTGCAGCACTTTGCCTCCAGAGAGGTTGTTGCAAGAATTCTCTCGTTGGAAGATGTCTGTCGTGAAGCTCACTGCAGCCACAGGCCAGGGGCAGACAGAAGAGTTCTGTCTTCTCTTTCTTGCCACACATGTGTGTCAGTGAAGCAACAGCTGGCAGCTGGCTCAGAGCAGAGCAGTTCCCATGGCCCGCGGGCACAGCTGCTGGAGCAGGCAGTGCTGGCATCAGCCTGGGCAGCAATCCTGCCCCAGCCCTGGGAAGAGCCACGGCAGGGGGGATGCCACAACTCCTCACGGAAACACAAGAAATGCCCCGGGTTCTCATTCTCCTTTAAGGCCGTGTGTAGCTGGATGTGTGAGCACAGGCCCCTCCTGGAATCCTTTCGGTTCCCTTGGACGCAGCTCCCCCGGTGCTGGGTGCAGCAGGCTGGTCCTGGCCTGCCCAGCAGTGCGAGGCAGTGGCTTGGTTGGCTCTGGAGAGCCCAGAGATGCTGAGATCCAGGAGCTGGCTGTGCGGCCCTGGGCGTAGCCTCCCGCCTTGGCGGGGGGTTCACGTGTTGGGCTCTGTTTGTTTCTGTCTCCAGCTGTGTTTGATCGGGAACAGCACACTCTGAACCTGCCAGCAGTAAACAGTATCACCTACGTCCTGCGGTTCCTGGAGAAGCTGTGCCACAATCTGCGCAGTGACAACCTCTTTGGGAACCAGCCTTTCACTCAGAACAGCCACATGCAGCGCTCACACGAGTACGACCACGACAGGTATCTACCAGGTAGGAGCTGGGGCGGGGGCGGCACTGTAGGGACCCAGGTGCTCCGTGTCTTAACCCAGATTTTATCAGTTCCAGAGCCCTGTCACAGGGCTCATTACATCACACCCAGTGTCGTGCACATGCCCTCAGGGCTCTTGTGTAGGATTCCAGTTGCATTTTCTGCCTGTCAGTTTGGTTTCCATCTCCGCTGTAGGTTCCCGCTCATCCGTGCTGTCTCCTTGTCTTCCCTCCTCTCCTCGTCCCCCAGTCCTTCCCACTTCTGTAATCTGATTATGGTGACTTCATTCAGCTAGGAACTCAGGTGAAAGGCTGCACGAGAAGGGAGAGTGATAACATGCAGCAAGTAAACTGTAATTAGAAATTAATTAAAGCAGAGTGGCTGTGGATCTGCTGGCAGCAGCCAGGGCATCCAGCCCTCAATGACAACGTGGCCTGTTCAGGGATGATGCTCGTGCAGCAATCTGAGCCAGAGGTGGTTTTGTTTTCCTTGGCATGGCATTGAAGCAGCTCACCCCAGCAAGACAGTTCATGCCACGGTGCAGATTGTCAGGCTGCAAAACTGCTCTGAAGTAGAAGCTGTGGAAAGCAAGGCTGGTAGTTCCCCCACAGTGCTGGGCAGTGGCAGCAGGCCTGGGGTGATGCTGCCCCACAGGCTGTCTGGGGGTTCTAGGGCAGCTCCTGCTCCAGGAATGTCAGTTGTGGAGAGGATCAAAGCTGCCTGCACCCTCTTAGCTGGTTGACAAGTGCTGATCTCCTCTCCTGTCTCGCTTTCTTCCCCCTCTAGTCAGCAAATAGCTGTTGTGTTGTTTGAGGTCTTTCCAAAATTAATCGTTTGCATAATTCTGGTTCTGGCAAGAAAAGCAAAAGTTATATGAATGTAAAAGGATGGGCACTTAGGAAGAACTGTTTAAGGAGAAGTTGCTAAGCATGAGGTGTAGGAGCAGCAGCCAAATGCCACAGTGCTTCCATTCATTGCACTTCACAAAGCACCTTAGGCAGAGTCTAGGGAGCGAGAGGATCTTCCCATCCTCTGCTTCCTCCTGGCTGCAGCCAGCAGGGCCAGGAGCAGAGGAGCTGTAGGATATGCAAGGACAGGAGCAGCATGACTAGTTACTGGGACTAGTAACTAGTAACTAAGCTTTTTTGAGGCTTTCCCTGAGGAATCCTCAAATAGAAGAAATCCCCATGTTTCAGTGTGGAGGTACCCTGTCATCATGAGAGAGAGCAAATCCAGAGTGGGAGGAAAAGCACCCAGCCCTGGGCATGGATGAGCTCACAGAGGTTCCAGTCTCCATGAGAGGTCAGTGGTGGCTGTGCCAAGAGTTGGGCTGCTGGGCAGAGTGGAAAAGCATAAATCAGAATTCAGGATAACTCTGGCAGAGCACGAGATCTGACATGATGCTGAGACCTGCCCATCCTGAACTCTGGTTCAGAATGTTTGCAGCACTTAAAGAAAAATTAACCACAGTCAGAGGTGTGACAGTACCTAGTCCTGCAGTTCATCCTGATGTCTGAGCTTGTTGGGCATCTGCTCGTGTTACACCTTTCTCAGTCACTTGGTGAGGGCAGGGAAACAGTGCTGGTGATTCTGGGAAGTTTGGGCTGGTCATGGAGGAATGAGGGTGGAGTTGTACATCCTTAAATCACTCCAGATGTCAAGGTTGCTGTGGTCTCACCTTCAGCTCTACATGTCCTGCCTTGTTTCCTCTCCACTATAGGAATGTATTGTATGGGGCTGGTTCTTGCAGTAAATGGCCACTGGTTAGGACTGGGAGCTGGTCTGAGCTCCCAGAACAAACTTTGCAGGAGCACCCCTGTGGGTGCCATGGAGAATTGTGTGTGTGTGTGTTTGGGGCAGAGGGAAGGTCTGCAGCACCCGGGTCAGCAGTGTCCTGCCATTCTGCCTTACTGAGTAAATGGAAATAAGAGAAGCAGACTGAGCTGTACATAAGGAGCCGTTTGCAGGGACCTGGGCAGCTGATTGCTGCTCACAGCAACATGAACATGGTGTGACCTGTCTGAAAACACAGGACTGGAGAGACCTGGAGCACTGAGCCCTGGCTCCTGCTGTTACAGCACCACAGCAATGGTGTTTCCTGGATTAACTCTGGAGTTGTGGATTTTGCTTTTCCACTGGAGTCTGCTCCAGGGTTTTATGCTGAGATTTCAGAAGCAATGTTGTAATTTCCAGCCCTAATTTATTCCTGGGCAACTTGGTGTCTGTATGTCCTGGTCTTAATATTGTCTTTTATCTTAACTTGGTTCTTTTTCTTCTGGAAGTAGTTGCAGAGCAGTTGTAACCTTCAGAGGAGTTCATCTTTTGGCTGCGTTTCGCTCGCCTCAGTGTTGGTTTGACTTTAAACTTCATGGGGTGGCCAGAGTGCCACCCAGCACTCTGGGGAGGAGTCATGGGGACCTGGTGCCACAGCACTGGCACCACCTTGGTCACAGGAAATGTCTCTGCAGTCACTTTTAGTCTCTGTGTCCTTGTGAGAGGTGATGATCAGCCTGTCCTGGTCACATACACCATTCTTCTCATCCACTGTTGTCACCTGCAGGTCACCAGCTCATGGGACAGTGCTTGAAGTGCACATCTGGATTTAGCTGCTGGATTTTCCTCCTTGCTGGTTCTTGGTTCTATATATATATATCCTTCCCACCTGATTTTAAATGCTGCTTTGTCTGATGTCTTTGGGAAGACATGAGCAGATTTCATTGGTAATTTCTGCCAAAGTTATTACAGTTATTAAATGGCTCTGGGCTCAAGGATGATCCTCAAGCAGATTCACTGGCAGTTGCTCCCAGTCTCGTGTTCCTTCTCAGTGTGCTGCCAACAGCTTTACCTCTCAAATCTGATTTTTGTGCATAGAACAAGGCTCCTGGTAATTCATATTCTGTCTCACCTGGTGGCTCTCTGTATGTAACATCTTGCTGAATTCCAGGTATATGAGTTTGATTTCTCTTCCCTCATGTGACAGATCAGGATTTCCCCATTGTTGGGGTGGCCTCCTCTGATGAACACCTGCCATAGAATGTTCCATGTGTATTTCCTGCCCTTTCCTTCAGAGCCTGCCACAAGCTTTGTGGTGCTACTGAGGTCAGACATAGGCATTTTATTGTAAAAATCATTTTTTACACCTTTTTATCAGATATTGGCACCACATTTCAGTAATGCAATGCTGATTTTAGTGCTAGAATTTCCTGCAGCAGACCCAGAGGTTCAGGTGCACTGTCATTCTTGGCTTCCTCTTCACCCTCAAGTGTCCAGTTTGAGGATGTTCAGTTGTCTCACTTAGTCAATGGTGGATATTTTGGTTCCTGTCCTGTTTTTTTTTATCCTTAGAGCCTTGCCCCCACTACTCAGCATGGCTGCAGCTAGAAGTAAACCCCAGAGTGGTTTGGGTTGGAAGGGACCATAAAGCTCATCTCATTCCACCCCCTGCCACGGGCAGAGACATCTTCCACTGTCCCAGGTGGCTCCAAGCCCTGTCCAGCCTGGCCTTGGGCACTGCCAGGGATGCAGGGGCAGCCACAGCTGCTCTGGGCACCTGTGCCAGGGACTCCCCACCCTCAGGGAAGACTTTTCTTCCATATATCCAATCAAAATCTACCATCTTTCAGCTTACACGTGCACTGAGTGCATGTGGATGTCACAGATGCATCAACACCTGAGCCAGGTGTGTAGGTGTGCTCTGCAGCCAGGGAGGAGGGGCCAGTGCAGTCAGTGCAAGGGTCATTAGAATTATTATAGAATTCTAATAAATTAGAAGCCCTGAGCAGCCTGACAAGATGAGGTGAGTGAATGTCACTGTCCCACAGCACCATCCAGGCACGGCAGCTGAGCTGCTCTTCCCCCCAGGGCAGGGGAGGTGAAATGTCCCTCCCAGCTGTCCTGTCATTCAGAGGCCAGGACAACCCTTTTTCCTTTTCTCCCAATCCTTACCTTTCTGCACAGTGTCCCCTCGCTCTGTTCTCCTGTGCTTGTTCCTTCAGTAGCTAAAATACAGCCCCATCTTTGCCTTTGCACTGCCTCAAAAGAGAATGAGTTAAAAACCTCCCTTCATCCCTGCCCTCCCCATCCTCTGAGGTGCACAACTCCACGCTGAGCACGGCCCTTTCATCAAAGTAAATCATCTGCTTGTTCTCAGCATCCTTCTCAAAGTGAGCATTTATCCACTGAGATTTGGGGTCCTTTCCTCTCAGATTATTTCCTCTTTGATGATACACATTCATGAGGTTTATGTCATTTTTGAACTGAAGGTATTTTCTTTTTATTCCTGATGATCTGAGTACAGCTCTGTTTGTTACTCCATTTCTTTATTTTCTTAAAACTTGTCCTTTAAAACCAGAATTCTGGTTTTGGTTTATCTTCTCATTAATTTTCAGGGACCTCACTTCTGATTTCTAGGATTAACTTCTATAACGAAGTTAATTCTGACCTGTTGTGTTTGCATTACTTTTAATGTCAACCACTTAAAAAAAATAACCCAAACCAAAACCTGATTGAACGTTGGTAAAGCATCACCTTGTGTTGTGGTTCTGTGGCTGTTGGGTGAAGAAGGCCATGCAGTTTGGCACAGGGCTATCCAGAGGCATCACCAAGAGCACGTGTCCCCCTCTCTGGCCAGTGAGTGTCTCTTACAGGGACTCACCCTGAGGATGGAATTTGTTTTTCTGGCGATGTCACAGTGACTTTTGGTCATACTCCTATGGAGTCCCAGGGCCTCAGTGCAAGCAGTTCTTTCATTTCCCTGAAGGATATTGATTGAACAGGTACCTTCTCTACCTTTGTGTTTCTCCTTAATCGACTCAGTTGTGTTCATCTGCTGCTTCCCCCCACCTGTACCTCCGTTTGTTGGGCATTCTGCATCTCCCTTGGTGTCAGTCCCTGCCATACCTGTTGCCCCTCCTGTACCTGTTCCTGCCCTGTGCCAGCTGTCAGGGCCACTCCAGGCTGGTGGTGGCTCCTGGCACTTGTGCAGGAGCGTTTGACCCCTCTGTGCCCACACCCAGGAACGCTGTGAGCTCTCAGGTATCACCCATGCTCAGGGTGGCTGAAGGGCCCAGCTGGGAGCTGCTGTGTGGGCAGGGGGCAGCTGGAGGGTCACCCCAGCTGGGACAGGGTCTGCCACCCCTGTGTCACTTACCTGGCTGCTGTCCCCATCAGTGTCAGAGCTTCCATTCCTTGTCCATCCACCACTGATGTCTGTGCAGAGACGTCCCAGCCCATCCCAGTGTCCTGTCTGCTGTGCAGGATATGGAGAGTCCCATCCTTGGGATGTGTTTGGAGAGGAGCAGCAGTGGCTCCACAGATGGGGGAGATTGAAAATTGGAGTAGGGTTTGATCCAGCACTGTGTATGGCACAGAGGGTTGCAAATCATCCAAGGCTTGTTTGCCAGTTGTCTGAGGGTTATGTGCATCTGAAAGGTGACAGTGGGATGAGCAGGAATTGTGTGGGATGAGCCAAGGGGCAGAATGAGGAGAAATGAAATTAAGTCAATCAGAGGTGATATTTGGGTGAACTATGGCAAAACATGGCTAAGATTCTTTGTTAGTTTTCTCACCACCCTTTTTCTCTGATAAAACCTGCAAACTCTGCTCTGTTGAGCCTTGCCAGATGTGCTGGATTGCAGCTTGAACAGGTGGTGGGTGCCCAGGCTGGCAATGCACATAAGGCTCAGGGGACTCTGTCAAGACTGCATTTCCCAGGACGTCTCCACTCCTAAAGAGGCTTGTTCTCTTTTCCTAGACAGAAGCAGCTCGTTAGACGGCTCTCTGCAGGGACCAGGCCGGGGTACAAAGCGCTATTCCCAAGATTCCCCTCCATACACTGCTCCTCTCTCCCCCAAGTTACCAAAGAATGACCGTCACCCTTTGGAAGGTGAGCACAGCGTGTCTCTTCCCAAAGCTGGCTGTCCCCAGCACCCTGTCCTGCCTGCAGCAGGGTCACATCTGCCATCTTCAGGGAGCTGCTTTGCTTGTCCCTGCCACGGGTTGTGCTTGGTATTCCAGAGGGGAGTGGATGAGCTGCTGTGTGGTGAGACAGGTGTAATGAACGAGGCCGGAGCTTTTAGCTGAAAGCTTTTAAAACAGAGTAACAACTTTCTTGTAAAAGAGGCACTTGTTTATTAAAAGCAGCTGTAGAAAACGGAGGAGCCGAGCTAAGCCCGAGTCCCCTCTCAAGCTGGGAAATGATTCAAATGTGTGGAACCCCCGACACACCGGGCACTCCCTCGGAACGAACTCCTCAGGAGAGCGACCAGCAGGAGTCTGACAGCCCCTTTTATACCCCCCCTTGGGTCCAGGATTGGTGGGGTTTGGATCCCCGGGATAATTGGTCCGGTTTTGGGGCTTTTATTGGTCCTTATCACGGTTCATTCCTGTCCAACCATTCTCTCGGGGCGTCGAGTGATTGCACCGCTCCTTCCGCCGATCTCGTCTCGTGGCGCTGATGTCCCTGCGCTGGCCTCACCCCCAAGGTGTCACCACCCCCTCAGGAACAACCCCCACGCCATCCTGGACCCCTTTAAACTTTTAACAGACATTAACTTATTGTAACATTTCAACTAACTTGAAACACAATGAACTTCTTCATAAAATCACCTCAGGACAACAGTTAACTTAGAAAATTAACAACATTAACTTGTAACAAACTAACCAAATTTTAGTCATAACACAGATTCCCCACACAGATGTGTCAGGCATGTGGAATGCAGCAGGAATTCCTTCTAACCCTGACAGTCATCATCTCACACCATAATCTGGTTTAATTTCCTGAGCTGTGCATGGGATTAACAGTGCTCAGGCTGCCCAGCTGCCTCAGTCCATCTGCCCCCCGATTTTTCCCTGAGGGTTTGCTGCAGCCTGTTGTACAGATGCTGATGTGCAGCTGTACAGCCAGCAACTTGCTGCCCTTTCCCAGAATCTCGTCTTGTTCCTCACAGGCCCCTCTAAAACAGCCAGGGGGTGTCACTGGTCCCACCAGCTCAGACACTCCATTCTCACCCTGCACTGCTGCTCCTTCCCAGAGTCTCTCAGGATACCACTGGGGCAGATGTGCTGGGCCATGCTCCCAACAGCAGCTGCAGGAGTGTCCTCTTTGGTGTGGGGTCCACAGGTGTCCCTTGCATGCACATGTGGAGATTTCCAGAAGGTCTGGGTAGCTGGAGGACTCCCTGAACAGAGTCATCTTCAATAAATACATTCCTGCTTTTGTTCTGAGCTGCAAACCCTTCATAACGCAGACTGAAGATTTAATCTTACTGAGGCTTTTAATTAATGGATGGTGAAATCTGTCAAGGTGTTAGTGACAATTCCTTGTGACTGAAATCCCTGAAAAATAGCTGAAGACTCCTGGCTGGGCTCACAGTTCAGTGGCTTCATGCTCTGTTGCTGTCTGTTTAGAATCCCCATTTCCCTGGTTTTGCTGAGGATGCTGATCCCAGGTGTGAGTGCCCAGCCTGGCAGCACTGTGGGTGATTTTGGTCTGCATCCATCACTGTGTCCTGAATCACTGACCCTGTCTCTAAGCACAGCTGGTCTGAGCTTGCCCAGAGCAGCTGTGGCTGTCCCATCTCTGGAAGTGTCCAAGGCCAGGCTTGGAGCAACCTGGGATAGTGGAAGGTGTCCTGTCCATGGCAGGGGGTGGGGCTGGATGGGCTTTAAGGTCCCTCCCAACCCAAACCATTCCATGATTCTCTGAAGGACATTTTCTAGTGACCTCATTATGTGCAGTGATTAAAACTAGATTTGTCACAGAGTCGAAGTGAGCACACAGGTGTGGTGTGACAGTGCCTCATCTATTCCAGCATATTGACAAGTCAAAAACTGTTCCCAGAGGCCCCTTCTGTTTCTCACCTCCAAATGGATGCTGGTCTCCTTGACTCCCCTCTGATGTATCAGCCACTGCATTTGGGCAACCATTGGCCCAGCCCCTCCTCCTCCCCCAGCAGGTGGGACATGCAGTGTTCAGCCTGCTCTTGAAGCACTGGGTTGCTCCAAAGGTTCAGATGCCTTGGTTGGGTGGTGAATATTGTACACTGTATTATCAGTGGAGAGAGAAGGCTTCCATAATGGGTAATTCCAAGGAGGAGCCTTCATTAGGTTTCTACAAGATTGATTCTTAGTCTGCTTCAGTTGTCCCTTGGCCTTTGAAGGGGTTGTGCCATCTGGGTGCCAGAATTCTCCAGGCTCCTCCAGAAAAACACAGACAAGTGGGCAGGAAGTGTGTCTGCAAGTGATGGGGTTGATCCTTCCTGCAGCAGCTTGGTCTGGTTCTGTTCTTCATCCAAGCAGGGAGCAAGGAGGTGCAGTCTCAAATTCCATCTAGAAATTCATTCTTATCCCACAGCTAAAAGCTGTAATGAATACATCATCCTCCACCATGAAATTGAGGTTCAGGCAGCAATATTTGCATTTCAGAGGATATATTTTAAGAATATGCACCTGAAATAGATACTGAGTATTTCTTGAGCAAGGTACATCTTCTCATGGGAATGAGCTCTGTCTCAGACAGCAGCTCCTGAGCACATCCCAGTTTGCCATATGGAAGGCTGTGAGCAGCACTGGGACATCTCCATTCACCCTGCATTTGGCAAGAAGCAGAGACATGAGGAGGGGATCTCACATCTTACATTGTTTTTACTCTTACATCCAGCGGTGTTTGCGTGGCTTTTTGCTGAAACACTGCAGTTCCAGCCCAGTGGGGACCTGCCTCCACAGCCCATCACTTGCTGGAAGCAGTGGGTGTTCAGGAGTAGTGCAAATCACATTTGTGCTTGTGGCCAAACTCCTGTGTTTTAGCAGTAAAATGACACTGTTGAGTCTATAGCACTATTTGTTTAATTAAACTTTAATTATCTGCTCCCTGCCTCTCCACCACTAATTATGGCATGTTTCCCTATAATGTGCCAACTGCCAGCCTTTAGTTAAATCCAATAGTTTGTGTAAGGAAACCTGCCTAAGGATCAGCCACCTCCTCCTCTGACTCTGGTTACTAAGGGTGAAGGATCCTGGATTTCCCTCTTGCCTCATCTCCTCCTCCCTTCCCTGGAGGTATCATTCATTGAGCAGTTCCCTGTGTACTTGTATTTTTAGGAAAACCCTCAATCTCTCTTGTACTGACCCTGTCACAAAGCCCCCAGCTCAGCTGCAGTGTTAGAGCCCAGCCAGGCACTCAGCTGTGCAGGGATAGGGGACCAGGGGATCACTGTGTGCCTTCGGTTTTACCTCCTGGGCAACAAAACATCGTGCCCCCATGGCTTCACCCATGGCCCTGGGACATCCATGAGTGTGTGATCACCACCGTGTGAGAACAGGCTGATATATTTGCAGAATGCATCACAGCACATTCCTGTCATGACACTGTGTCAATTTTTGAGTGGAGTCATTTCTGAGGGTGAGGTTTGGATCCTCAGCCTTGCACCAACAGGAACCTGTGCATGTGCTCTCCCAGCCTGGGCCTGAAATTCCTTCTGCTGATGCCAGTCCCCACTGTGAGAGCTCTGGGGATTTTGGGAGCACTCAGACACGTGTGTTTGTGTGACCCAGCTCATCTGGGTGAGTGTCCCAGTGTCCTGACAAGCTGAAGCTCTCTGTCACCTCAGAGGTGCTGGGTTTCCTTGGAGGGCTGAAATGCACAGCTTGGACCTGTTCCCATGCCCACAGCCACTGCCCTGTGACAGCACTGACCCCTCTCCTGCCTCTGTTCTTCCCTGGCAGTCAGCATCCTTCCCCAGATATTTAATGGGAAATGTTTTGGGGTTTAAACAGAACTGTCCTGTTGAACAGGAGACCAAATGTAGTTGCTTGGAGGCAGCTACAGTGGAAACCCATTGGTGTGACACCCAGAGGTGGGTCTGGCTGGGCAGGGGATCTCCACCCAGCCCAGCCCAGGGCAGCCAGCTCTGGTTTGTGTCCAGTCTGGGGCCGAAATGCAATGGTGGGAGGGCAGGAGGGGTTTGAAGTTATTCAGGAATAGCCATGAGTCAGCAAAGCATTTTTTATGCACCCAGAGCAGGTGAGAACACACCTGTCCATGCAGGAAGCAAGTGACAAATGGGCCACAGGACAGGTCACTAAGGGTAACAGTATTCACACCAGCAGTTTGTAGGTGAGACTTTAAGGCTGTGCTACTGTTTCTGGGCACATCCCAAAGACCTAAAAGCAAAGAGAGGCAGCAGTGCCTCAAATGCAGAGTGGCAAAGCCCTGGTGTGGGAACAGCAATTTCCCAGTGCTAACCCCACAGCAGGCTGGCCAACAGCCAGACAAGGGTGGTCCCATTTCATATCCTTCAGTGTGAAGCCCTGGAAGGTCAGGGCTGGACCAGCTGAACTGGCCTCTGGATCTCTGCTCAATCACAGGCAGCAAGACACGAGACCACAAGACCCCAGCTCTCACAACAGTGCCACAGTTCATAGAAACCAGAGCAAATAAGGTGTAGCCAGGACAGGCTGCCCCAGTCAATGGTACCCAATATCTGCAACACTTGGGAACCACTTCAGGCTCTGACAAGCTGCACTTCCCTTCACTGGAGCATGGCAGCATCAGCTCAGCAGGGAATTTGGGATAATCTCAACAGCTTGTGGGTATCACCATGATCCCAATTCAGCACAGCAGTGCTGTGCTGGCTTCTCACCTGCTGCTTCTGGGGGAGAAACCCAGGGCCTGGCCAGTGCTCAGGCTTCTTCAGCCTTGTCAGCTGCTGTGGTGTTGGAGTGGCAGCAGCTCAGGGCTGTGAGCTGCCCTCTGGGTCCCTACAGATGCTGGTGGAGGAGCTGCAGCTCCCACCCTCATGTGCTGGCAGGTCTGGAGTGCCCAGGCAATGCCCCTCACTGTGGAGCTGCTTCCCTCCTTGACAGCTGTTTCATAAAAAAAACATATTTGAGGATATTTGAGGGTATTTGAGGGTGACTCACAAGGCTCAAGGACCACCTGGGCTGAGACTCAGTTGTGCTGCAGTAGAACCTGCAAAGGTGGCCCTCCAATGGAGCTGTCACAGTTTAACAGCAGAGGCAGATCTGTCACCCTGGACAGTCTCCTCATCCCCTCCATCCCATGGACAGCTGTAAATTCAGTGCATTTCTGGAGAAGCGAGGAAGCCACTATTGCTCTAATACCCTGCCTGGGGAGAGCCCTCAGCCCAGGCCCTCCTGTGCGTGTTCCAGTACAGGGAGTTGGCCTCTGATGTGTTTAGGCTGGAAAAGGGCCCAGGAGGAGGCCAGGAGGGATGAGCAGCTCCTCACCAGCATGTTGCTTTTGGGGCCAGAGGACTGGCACAGTCCAGGGCAATCAGGCCACAGGGCTGGGCCACTGCTGGTGGTGGCATGAACAGAGTAGGTGAACAAGAGCTGCTTTGTCACTACACTGGTTGGACTGGCACTGGCAGATGGTGACACCAGTTGCAGATTGGCAGCTGGTGAATGCCAGGGATCCAGCAGTGCCTGGTTTGATGCCTGTGCTGAGGAGAGCCCAGCCAGGGGTTGGACCCAGTGAGTGCTGCTGTGGCTCTGCCCCCAGGGGAGCGTGGGGCTGTGGCGTTCGGGTGCACTAACTGCAGCTTGGTGCATTCCAGGTGAAACCTTTGTCCTGGGAGATGGCCTCCCAGGGCCCTTAGAGCCTCGCCTGGACCCCATGGACTCTGCCTTGAACTCTGTCAATTCATCCAGCCACAGCAGGAGCTCCAGAGACTATCGGCTGCCAGGATACAGGCACCTGCACCAGCCCTCTAGCCTGAGCCAGGGCAGCACCTCTGCCCTGCGCAGGCTTAGCTCTGGGGGTAAGAGCTCAAACAGCCCTGCAGCTCTAAACTGGGCAACAAAGGGCTATTCCAACTCCAGTTACACCTTTCTAACTTCAGCAAGTACCAGAGGCTGGGCTCTGCACAGCCAACCAGGTCTGTTAGGTGTGATGGCACCTGGCAGGTGGCAGTGTGGACAGGTGATATTTCTCCTTTGGCTGGTGACTGGGTGGACCTGGAGGTCAGTGGGAAGAAAGGAACAGGCAGGACTTGAACTGTGTCCAAGTGATAAATGGGTGTCTGAGTCTGCAAGGATGGATTGGGAATGGCTGGGGAGTTGGAAGTTGCCTGGTGGGGCTGGGAGGATGGGCAGATGCATGAGTGGCACTTGTCTGTATGGAGGAAGAGGGGCAGGAGAGCTGAACTGCTCATTGCAGCATTTGGGGTTGCAAACAGTGACATTTTGGGTGCATGGTGTCAGTAAAAGCCTCTGAAAAGCTCAGGCTGCTGGTGCCTCCCCCTCAGGTTTTCGGGCAGAGCTGAGACAAGGGCTGTGCACACTGGGAGCAGGACCTGTGCCAGCTCAAACTGTGCTTTTGGACAGTGAGAGCTCACCTGTGAGTTCAGTCCATCAGAAGAAGCAGCCAGTGAAAGCATCCATCAGCTTTGCTGTGTTAAATGTGCTACAGGTGTTGGAAGGGGAGGAGGAGCCGTGCAGGGGGAGAGATGTGGGAATGACAGGGGGTTGTTCTGCTCAGGTGGGAAGTGTCAGCCCATGGATAAGGAGGAGTAGGAGCTAGGGACAAACAAGGGCTTTGTGGGGCTTGAGAGAGGGGACAAGGGCTCAGCATAGGAGGCTGCCCTGGAAAGTCAGGCCTAAGGAGAGGGAATAAAGCATCAGTGCCTGACCTGCACCACAGGAATCTGGGGCATTCCTGGGATGTGCCCCTTGCTGTGTCTCTGCCCTGCTGTGGGAGAGGAGCTGAGTGGTGGATTGAGGGGGGATGACTGTGGGGCAGTGCCAGGGACCCCCATAACAGCTCTGTCTGGCATCCCCAGGCTCGGACAGGTACCTCAGCTCCCGGGACAGCTCCCGGCTCAGCAGCCGTGACCCCTCGTCCTGGACGGTGGAGGAGGTGATGCAGTTCATCCGTGAGTCAGACCCACAGCTGGGCCCCCATGCTGACCTCTTCAGGAAACACGTGAGTGCCACAGTTCATGTACGTGTGTGTGTGTTACATCTGGGAGGGGGAAAATCACACAAGCAAAAATCCAGGAGAGTCAGAACACGGCAGCACTTCAAAACCAGAGTTTTGTGCTTAATAAAAAGATCCTCATAAATCTGCTCATGCCCTGTCCAGGCTTGAATCCTTATCAGAACCCCTCAGAGGGAGCCTGGGTGCACACAGAGTGTCTGCAGTGAATCCCAGTGCTGAAAACACAAACTCTGCTCCTCCTGGAGTCTAATACTCACCTCGTGGCAAATGTCTCATGGCAAGAAACACATTCCAGTGGGATTCACAGAGTGTGTTGCTGCTCAGCTCCTGTAACAGGGAGTCTCCTAAGGCTCTGGCCCTTGTGCACATCTGTAAGTGTAAAACAGCTGCAGACACAGTGTGGAGTTTGTACCATCACAGCTACAGGAGAGGTTTGGCAGCTGCATGTCCTGAGCCCTGCAAGAGCTGTGTTCCCTCTGCCTGATGATAAATAACATCCATGTTCTGGTGCTGCTCATGAAGAGCAGTGGGAGCAAACACCCAGTGCTGTGTCCTGCTCTGAGCTGGGCTGACTCAACACTTCTTCTTTTAATTTGTTCTATTTCAGAAACACCAATAATTGAGAAATGTTTGTTTAATTATGCAAAAGCTGCCAAGGGACAGAAATGTCCTGGATTGTCAATCCCTTCCCTGTGGAAGGGAAAAACAGATCAAACCTGGTACTGGAGATCCCTGGAAGCAGGGATCTGAAAGCAACTGAGCATTGACATAGGACAGGATTTTCTGTTGTTCGAGGTTGTGACTTTTATTTTTCCCTTACAAGCCAATTAAAATTTTCTTCATGGAAAACTGTCCAGTGCAAAGCTCTGGAGCCAGCCTGGACTGGGTCATGCTGCAAGGGACTGAGAGACTTCCACTTGCAAATGCCAAGTACAAAGCTGTTTTCTGGTTATTCTAAGCTTCATGGTCCATCCCCTCCTCAGTCTCAGGAGGGACACATCTGGCTCTGCTGGAAAGCATCAGATGCTTTGAAAGCTGCTGTGTTGGAATCAGCCCCAGTGGGGATGAGGAGCTCCACCAGTCTCTGCCAGTGGCTGGGACTGTGCTGTGAAGCTCCAGAAATAGAACCACAGAATCATTCAGGTTGGAAAAGCCCTCTGAGGTCATACAGTCCAACATTCCCCCAGTACTGCCAAGGCCACCACTAAACAGTTTTCCCAAGTGCCACATCCACATGTTTTTTGAGCACTTCAGGGATGGTGATTTCAGCCCATGCAGCTGCCTAACCTCCCTTTCAGGGAAGAAATTTTTCCTAATGTCCAATCACAGAGCACAGGCTCTTTGGGTTTCTGTTCCCTCACCTCCATCTTCAGCCATGACTTCAGGGCTGTGTGTGTCACAGCAGGACTGTCACCACTGACACATCCTCTGCCACATTTCTTCTACACTGGGATGACAATGCCCTGGAGTGAGCAATTGTTCCCCTGCATTGCCACTGCCTCTGCATTCCCCTGTCAGTGCCACCTCCCTTTTCCTTCCTCCCCACCTCCCTTCAGGATGTTCTGGCCCTCTGGAGATGGCTCCTGGATGTTGATCACCCAGGAATTCCCATCACACACGTGGGTCCGGGGCTGCAGCAGGGTGGATGTGGGGCTGCCTGTGCTGTCCGTACTGGGGTGTCTCTACTGGGATGTCCATACTGGAGTGTCCATACTGGAATTTCCATACTGGGGTCTCCATACTGAGATGTCCATACTGGAATTTCCATACTGGGGTGTCCCCTACTGAGATGTCCATACTGGGATGTCCATACTGGGATGTCCATACTGGACAGGGCTCTCACAGCCAGCCCTGCTGTTGCATTTTGGGCCCGGCCTGGCTGGGTCAGGGCTGGGTCTCTCAGGTGCCATCACCTGTGGTTCATCCTTGCAGGAGATCGATGGGAAAGCCCTGCTCTTGCTGCGGAGTGACATGATGATGAAGTACATGGGGCTGAAGCTGGGGCCAGCCCTGAAGCTCACTTACCACATCGACAAGCTAAAGCAAGGCAAGTTCTGAGAGGACTCCTGGCAGGATGGATCCTGGAAGCTCCGCTCCCAGCCGTCCCCACCCGCGCTCACCTGCCGACAGGTTCGCATGCACACACCCCCTCCGCCGCACACGGACACTCCCGACGCTCGGCCGGGCCCTCGGCGCCCCACCCAGCCCGGCCAGGCCCCCGCAGTGCTCAGGAGGAGCCCGGCACAGCTGGGCTTTGCACCAGACTCGAGCTGTGGGCGTTGGAAGCACAGGGGCTGTTCCCTGCTGCCCAGCCTGCACTTCTCCGTGACCTCGTGGTCCTGCTTCCCTGGGATGGAGCAGCGCTCCGGGCAGTGCCCGTGGGGACTGGGGCAGCCCCTGGGCACTGAGCCTGGCCAGCCTCGAGGGGCTCGCTGTCCCCAGGCCACCCTCAGCCCCGCATTGAGCTCAGAGCATTGACAACCCCAGCCCGTCTTCCATCCTGGGGGAGCCCGTCCCCCCGGCCCTGCCTGCCCCCAGCTCCTGACCTGGCTCCAGCTGGGCACACCGGGCCAGGGCTGGAGAGTTTCATATTTATTCCAAGCTGGGGAGACCGTGTGGGACCATGGAGTGAGCTGGGAGAGCTGAGGAGCAGGGCTGGGCCTGCCACAGGTGGGTCTGGGCTGGTGTTGGAGGCTGCCTGGATGCTGCAGGATTTGGCTGATCCTTCTCGCCTTCTTTTTTTAATTTTCTTTTTTTTTTATTTTGGAATTTATTTTTTTTTACTAAGGAGTTGTCTGTTTCAAACGATGAGATGATTTTTCTACCTGTGTTGAACTCGCAGCTCTTGGTGATTTTTAGCCAGAGCTGCTAAGGTTTGTCTTCCCAGGGGCACTCCTGCTCCTCTAGAGTTTGTCTGTCCCAGCTGAGCGTGTGGGAGAGGGTTTTGGGTCTGACCAGAGCATCCCGGGGTGGTGACCTGTCCTGGCATTGCACTTCTTGTGAGGGCATTGCCCTTCCTGAGGCACCTGTTGGTCCCAAGCAGTTTAATGTATTTATTTCTGATGGCACTTGAGTGGTTCTCATGGTCGCAGATGTGTTTCTGCAGCTGCACAAGGAATGGAGTGGAGCCACCAGCTGTGCCACCGCAGTGTCCCCTGAGCAGCAGCTGCCAGCTCGGGGCTGCCTGTGGGGTGGAACCCGGAGCATCACCGGCACCAGGCTGGCCTGAGCTGGGACAGGGCTGGCAGGACAGGGCCGATGGGGCCAGCACGGGCTGTCCCCAGTGTGCACAGACACACACACACACACACACGCTTCCTCTGCAGTGACCAAAGGGCTGGGACAGAATCTCCACTCCAAGCACTTCCTTCTCCTGTCCTCAGCTCACCCTCTGCATCCGGAGCCGCAGCTCACCCACCCCCTCCCCTGCAGCCTCGAGGGCCTGGCCAGCAGCAGGACGGGCCCCTGTGGTGACCAACCCTCCAGGCTCTTGCACTGAGTCAGGTTTACCCCTAAGGGGCAAAGTTCAGAAAAAAAAAAAAAAACAAAAAAACCCAAACCCCAAAGTAAAAAGGCAAAAATGGCTTTTTGTCCTCTAGCGCAGCCTGTGCTGCCGGCCCGGGGCTGGGGGCTCTGGCTGCTCATGGAGCCCCTCGCTGTGAGCTGGCGCCAGCCCCGCTGCAGCCAGGCCCCGGCAGGGTCAGCCAGTGCTTTCCTCTGCACTTATTTTACATTGATTTGTTTATAAATAAAAGGATACCAAGTTCCTCCCCGCTGTTCGTGCACTGATGGCAGCGCCGAGCTGAGCCCCGGCCGTGGGGGAGCACAGGGATGGGCAGTGGGTGCTGCCCCGGGACTGACCCAAGGAACTGACACCCCAGGACTGACCCTCGGGACTGACCCCTAGGATTGACCCCCGGGACTGACCCTCGGGACTGACCCCCAGGATTGGCCCCCCAGAATTGACCCCAAGAACGGACCCCTGGGACTGACCCCCAGAATTGGTCCCCAGGACTGACCCCCGGCTGCTCCTCCAGATCGGGAGGGAGAGCAGGGCCTGGGTGGGGCTGAGGGAAGCAAAGGGACACTGGAAGGGTGGGGGGACAGAATGACCCGGGGGTGATGGGTGAGGCACATGGTGTCCTCCGTGTGCCCCAGCCCCTGAGGCACCCCCAGGCTGACAGCCCCCATCCTCCGTGTGCTCACAGAGCCTTTTGCAATTCCTTGTTCCTGGACTTTGAGGGAGATGTCCAGAGAGCCCTTGCAGCCCTGAGTGCCACCAATGCTCCCAACACACTCCATCGCCAGGAGCCCCCGAGGGCTGCCTGGGGCTGCTCCATCCCACAGGGGCACGGGATGGGGAACACGGAGGGGCCAGGCCCCATTGCTGGGGCTCCACAGGGCTGGTCCTCCATGACAGGGGTGATGAGTGATGGAGTGAGGGTCTCACCCCCGTGTACTCAGAGCCGTGGGTTTGTGTCCCCTCTTGACCTGCCCATGGAGCACCTGGTGACCTCCTGCAGGGGCTGGTGGCAGAAGGCAGCTGAGGGGCACCCAGCCCCAGGGAGGAGGGTACTGGAAAGTCCTCGAGCAGCAGGTGAGGGGCCAGAAGCCCCCAGGTCTCTCCCTGCAGGCCCAGCTCTGCTGTCCCCAGCTCCTGGCCAGGTGTCTCACCCCTGGGGCGACTTGTCACAGCACAGGGACCCTGCCAGCCTCAGTGTCCCGGGGCTCCACTGTGCCACCTTTCCCTCAGGGACTGCAGCAGAAGTGTCTGCCCACAGCCTCTGGCAGCACAGCTGGATCCATCCTTTTTTTGGGCTGGGACTGCAGTGCTTGGGCAAGGCCCCAAAGCCACCAAACCTCTGTGCCAAGGCCCAGGGACGCCCAATTTATTCGTAGAATTTCACTGCATGCTCTTTAACTGCTCCTTTCTGTTGCAGTCCCAGCTCAGGAGCTGAAGTGCATGAGCTCAGGGTGGAGCTCCCCCTCCCACTGGGCTGCAATGCCCCAGCCCCAGAGGGCTCAGGGCTGTTATGGGACCAACAAACTCAAGGGCTGGACAGTGGGAACAGCCCAGTCCTGCCCAGGCACCTGGGGGTGCTGAGTCCTGGTCCAGTGGGGAGGTTCTGCCCCCCTGCCCCAGCTCTCCCATGAGGATCTTGAAATTGGGAGCAGCCAGGGCCCAGCAGGGAGCAGAGGGACAGCCCAGTCCCAGTCCTAGAGCCCACTGAGGGATCAAAGGGGACAGGAACCACAGGCTGCCTTTGGCTGACAGTGCTAACAGGACTTGTCCCAGGGGAGCTGTTACTGAACGCAGAGCCAGGGCTGACAGCAGTGGTGGCAGTGACAGCCACCCCACACACATCACCCCATGGCCCAGGGACACAGCTCTGACCATGGGCCTGGTGCACTGGGCAAGAAACTCCCAGCTGTGGAGAAGCGGGGTGGGACAAACACTCCTGGGGCACCTCAAAGCCACTGGGAAGAGTTTTGTGCCCTGCAAAGCCTGCAGGCTCAGCCCAGGTTCCCCAGGTTTCTCCACTGCTGGAAGAAGCTCCAGAACTTCAGACTTTGGAGCTCCACATCTAAACCCACTGTGAATACAGCTCACAAGTTTTCACTACCTTCAAGGGGATTCATTCAAGCTTGGGCAGTTTTGTGCTTCAGCCCTTTCCTTCCTTCCCTCCCTCCGAGCCGGCAGGAACAGAGCGAGCTCAGGGCTCCTCACTCAGTTTGTTACAAATGAGCATTTAATGACCGAGTCAGTTGCATGGTTTTGGCCAAAACAAACATTTCAGGAGAAAAAACCACGGTTGTGCTGCAGGTGAGGGAGGCTCTCACCCTGCCCCAGGAGTGGCCAGGCCAGGGCAGGACTGGGCAGCAGCAGAGCTCTGCAACCCTGCACAACATTCCTGCACAACAGCTGGAACTGGCACACCAGAAATGCTTGAAGCTCTTCGGGCTCACAGCAGCTTTACAGGGAATATTTAAAGGAATATAAAGGAATATTTAGAGGACTAAAGCACGGGGGGCTGGGGAGGAAATCACTGAGGAGGGACAGGACAGGGTTTGGTTTCGTGGCTCAGCCAGGTCTGAACGTGCAGCCCTCCCCAAACTCCATGGAGCTGCTGAAGTCTGTGTGACATCAGACAACAGAGACACTTCCCTTCTTTCCTTCCTTTCCCCTTCATCACCAAAGGCCACACAGGGTGTTCCAAGGCAGCAGCAGGCAGGAACCAAGGCAGTTCAGCAACACCCACCCCAACCCAGGTAACAGCGAGGGGAGGTGAGCCCCTCCCTCAGGGACAACCCTTGGGAACTGCAGGAGCACGGCACACACAGCTCCAACGTGGACAAAAAGGCAACAAAAGGCTCCACTTCAAATCCATTAAAAAGCACCAGGAGCTGCTGTGCCCCAGGGCAGGGACACAGTTCAAGGCAGCAGTGGAAGTGGTTCAGTGTCTCACTCTGTCCCCTTGATGCAAGGGGTCGGAGTTTCCCCAGCCCCAGGAGCGCTGGCACAGGGAAGGGCTCACATGGATCCCTGGCAGCTTTGTTCTCCTGCCCCCCCAGCCTGATCCCAGTTAATCACATCCCTGCAGTGGATGTCAGCCAGAGCTGAGCATCTCCCAGAGTAACACAATTCCAGGAAGATCTTCCTGGTTACAAATTCATAGTGACAATGAATGCACCAAGAGCACCAGTGCTACTGTAAATGCTACAGAAAAAAAAATAAACCAAAAATCCCCTTTCCCCTTTCCCTGAAAAAAAAAAAAAAAAATCCAACTAAAAAGGCTGCATGAAGCTGCCCAGAGCCCTCTCAGCAGCACAGCCCAGCCCAGACACTAAGCCAGCCCCCAAAATCTCATGCCATTCATAATTTCACCAGTAAGTAAAGACTGAGGAGGGAGGAGAAAGACTGGAGAAAGCAACTGCACTGTCAGTGTCCAAGGCACCCTGATACCAAGCACTCCCTGCACTGGGAAGGATTTGTGCCATGGGATTCCCCTCAGCACAGCAAATCCTACACCCCAGTTTGCTTTGACCTCCAAGCTGGAGCAACTGAAGGAAGTCTAGAGGAGCTTCTGTGAACTCTCCTCCACAAATAACCAAGATCTATACAGGAAATAAAGGAAGGACAGAAGAGCTGAGGAAATAAGGGACAGGATCTCAGAATAAAAATTATAAACCCTTAAGTTAGGAAAGCCTAAAGCTGAGGGTGTTGGAGCTACTGCTGTAAGAACACCTGGAGAACCTAATGGAGACTCCTCTCTGCAGCAAGGACACACCTGGAGGGGGAGAGAGAAAAGGAGCAGGAATTACTGACAGGGAAAACCACAGGCTAGAACTGCACAGCACTGGAGGCAGAGCCTGGCAGGAGCCCTGTGCCCAGCTCAGGAGTGTCTCAGCTTCCCAGGGACACTGTGGCACCACCAAAGGACTGAACTGCTCCCCTGGACACGGCTCCTTCCACACACCCACATTCACTGAGCACAGGGAGTGAGGTGCCCAGCCAGGACTGACCCCCTGCCCTGCCCATGGCAGCACCAAAACAACATTTTCACTGTGCTGCTGCCCCAAGACAGCTGGGCTGAGACAAGTCCCAGGGATGCTGCCACTGTCCCCACAGCTTCCTCATGTGGGGACACCAGACCTGCCACATTAGGGTCACATGGGATACTGTCAGTGAGACCAAGGTTCAGTGTATCTTTAGGATAAAAATTTACAGGGAGAATTCTTCAACTCTTGGTGTTGACCCAGCTGTGGAACAGCCCAACATCCAGCAATCCCAATCCTGCATCCAGGGATGGGGAGCACTCCTGTGACAGACTGGGGCTGGCCCTGCTTTCCCATCTGCAGCCACTCTGAAGTGTCAGGTACACAGAGGAAGAGGAAGAGGGAAGGGCTGGGCCTCTTCAGTGCCCTGGCACTCAGCAGTGCAGCCCTGCTGTCACCCCAGACGTGTGTGCAGATGCTGCTCAACTCCTGCAAAACCCCCAGACAAACCAGCCAGAGCAGGGACGGCTGTCACACCCATGATCACCTACTGCACAGACAAAGAATGCAAATTTAAAGTCTGTCTGTTTTGCTGGTGCAGTCTGAGTGCCAGGTTTTCGTGTCTTCTCCTTCCCTGCACTGTGTACATGCAGTTTTCACATCCCTGTACCACCTGCAGCCCTTACAGACCAGAGCTAGGTCTGAGGAACTGCTGTCCCAGGAGATGGACACAATGGATACTACCAAGATGTTCTTTTGCAATAGTGAGGGACTGCAAAATATTGAATTTCCCAAACCCAGGAACCCCTTGCACAGCTCTGCCCCCATTTTTAGGGGTATGTGCTCCACTGGTGCTTTTACCTGAATGTAACCCCGAATTCCTCTGTATTTGTATTTTATTGTGTGTCACTTTGCTAAGGGGACACCCAAACCCAGCTGTTACACAGGCAGAGGCACTCAGCCCTCAGCACAGCTGGAACACGTGTGAGCACCAGCACATCTCATGGTGTGCCAGCTTTCTACATGTGCAAGTCAGTGGCCAGGAGCAAAGACTGGCCAAGAAATTTTTTCCAAAAGGAAGAGGTTGAGATCATTAAACATTACCAGGAATCAGTCATGATTTGCTGAAGGGAATTTCAGCTCTGTTATCTCCAGGTCAGGAGAGCTGCTGCCACTCCGGTCACTGTAGGTGTCCCTGCAGGAGTAAAAGATTCGGGGTTAGGGAGCACAAGGACTTTAAGGACTGATAATTAATGTGGGAGGCTGCAGCAGAGGGAAAACTTCCATTTCAAACTCAAATGTGCAAAAGCAGAGAATTAAAATATCCCTCAACCCTTGGAGGCATTGAAATGAGAGTCCCTCACACATGGAACTCTTCTGGAGCACACCTGACCACTGTGATGTCAACACTGACACAGGAATCCTGTGGTGCAGCTGCACTGCAGCTCAGCCCACAAAGACAACACTTTCCTTTTGCCATTGCATTTGCCTGGGTTTGATACAGGCACTGCTAATTCTCCTCTGCATTTGGTCTGGTTTTTGTTTAGTGCCAGTCAGCACTCAGCAAGCCCTCGATGTTCTCTGTGAGGAGAACAGCTCAGTACCTGTTGGTATTTGTTGAACAGTCCCGAGTGCCAAACAGAACTGCAGGCACTGGGGAACAGCAGCACCAAGCATCTGCACCATGAAATCCACCCAAAACACCACTTGCTTTGCAAACTGAAACAAAGAAAGCTGAAGTCAGCAGAAAAAAACCACGAGGCTGCAACCACCAGGGCCAGTTCTTTAAACCAGCAAGAGGAACAAGTTTCTTATGGGCCAACAGGTACGTGGGACTTGTCTGAGGAATGCAGGGGAAAAGCCCATGAGGTAAAAGAGCAACCCCATTCTCAGTTTCCCCAAAGACCCTGACTAACAGCACAAGGCTGCAGATCTGCTCTCCCTGAAGCCAGGGCCTCTCTGCAGGACAGCTCTGTGGCCCCACAATCAGCCTCAACACACCAGGTTTGAGCTTTCAAAAGGAGAGTGGAAAGAAGGGGTGGTGCAATACCAAGTTATCCCCAGAACTCTGTGCCAAGAGGATGCTCTGGGTTATCCTGCAGGAAGCAGCACTGTACTGTGACAGCTCTGACTGGGATCTGTCTTAAACCCACCTGGGAGAGAGCCTGCAGCCCTTCTGTAGGTAGTGGGTAAGTCTCCCTGCAGATGCCAGGAGGAGCCCAAAGTATGGGGGTGATGGCTTGATGGGCCTGGAGAGGAACTCGGGGTGATACTGAACACCAACGAAGAAAGGATGCTCTGAGAGGAACAAACAAAACATTCATGTCAATCTCTCAGGCTTGTGGCTGAGCTGCAGGTGAAATCCTGATTATGCTGAAGCCCTGATGATGGGGAAGAATCATTTCCATGCCTTTTGTCCATAAATGGATTTAAGTTTTACCATCATTTTATGGATGCAATCATTCCAAGACAGTCTGAATGGGTTCCACATGAAAACCTGCTCCATTACCCTCCAAACACTTTCCCTTGTCCATCCCACACCCACAAACCAACTCTTAAGGACTCACCTTCCAGCTCAACCACTTCCATCCTCTCTCCCTCCTCATCCTGCCCCACGAACTTCAGACCATGCTCTTCAAAACACTTTTTCAGTTCTGGATTGACCTAGAAAACCAGAAAACAAGCCATGAACTCTTGTGTCTGGATTACACAGGAATGCTCAATACCTACATGAGCATTTTTACCTCAAATCTGTGTCTGTGTCTCTCTTCCAGGAAATCGTGATCTCCATACAGCTTCCCTGCAGCACAAGTAAGATGTTGCTTAGATCAGTGGTCACAGCTTTTGACAGATTCATTTGATCAGCATCCTTCAGAATCTGCCACTTCTGGAGGGGATCAAATTCCCTGATCCCCATTCCCCTGCCATTCATGAATGCTTCAACACCCCCAGCTCTCACTGCCCCATCCCACCATACATACAAGCCATTCCCAGGAAACATTTCCAGAAGAGGGAAGAAGGGCCTTACTCATGATTGAATTCTTGGTTTGGAAGAGTGTCCTTCTCTTGCCAAGCCTCATTGTCCCACCCATTTGCCCAGGATTATGTTCTGGCATGTCTATGACCTGTGGAAAGAATTTAGAGGGAGGTGAGAATCAGGGAGGAACAACAACAACAACAGGCAGACTCTGACACATTAAAAGAAAAAAATCCCACCAAAATTCATGCAAAAAACCAAAGAAACCAGCCCAAGGAACACTGCACACCAACAGAACTAGGTTAGCTGGTCAAGTTGTTCAGTACAGGCTGCACAGTACCTATGGGGGTTTGTGGATATTCAGGAAACTTTCACATAGGAAGTGGCCAGTCAGAGTTTACACAGACTGCACACACCAATACTGTGCTGTTTACTGAACTGCATGTCAAACAAACAGGCAATTTATGGAAACAAAACCCCCAAATCAGAATTGCTTACTCTTTGGTAAATAATATCATAAGCTGTTTTTTGGTAACTTCCTCACTTTGAGTAGCATTTTACATTATAGCAGAAGCCAATCATTATGGTGGACCCTGGACCAGAAACACAGAGCCTTCCATAAATGTTCCCAGGAATTCAGGTTTATCTGTAGCTATCATAAAACAGTTGGAGTTGGAAAGGACCTTAAATCCCATCCAGTGCCACCCCTGCCATGGCAGGGACCCCTCCCACTGTCCCAGGCTGCTCCAACCCCAATGTCCAACCTGGCCTTGGGCACTGCCAGGGATCCAGGGGCAGCCACAGCTTCTTCTGGCAATCATGACCAGGGATTTGTAGGAAAGTCTAATAAGGATATCACAAGTAAATCACCATAAACTCACCACTGGATGAGAAGTTCTGGGGTCAAACTCTGTTGAGTTTGCATCTGCAAAGTAACGATCAGCAATCAGAAACATGGAGTGGCTCACACCCTGACATAACCTACAGGGCCTGCCCCAGGCACACCTGCTCCTCATGCCCAGCTGTGCTGAGCCCCCCCTCAGGCACACAACACCCCAGGCAGCAGGAACAGGGCTCTCAGCACTGTTTGGTATCCATTTCTTAGGATAACCCACCCTCATTCAGGAAAAATACATGTTCAACACCTTCAAATACAGAAATAAAGGCACGGTGGGGGAAAGGAGCAGAGTGGTCTAAGAAACTCCTTTTTCCTAACCCTCACTATTGGAGAGGATCAAGAATCAGGCTGAGAACTCAATTTAGCACTCTCTGAAGTTAACAAGGACCTGTTCAATTCAAGCAGTGGAGCTCAGAAGGGAACTCCTCTCACTGCAGGAGCTGCAGCTGCTGGCTGGCTGAACTGCTTTTGGGCTTCATTCCCACTGGCTGCAGTGGGAATTTGGGATGCCCAGCACACACAGGACACCAAGGTGTTTCATTCAGGAACTGAACCACATGTTAAGCAATAGGAAGCTTTCTGTCATTCTAAGCATTATTTACTCCATTGATTTTTATTTAAATAGGGTAAGGAAATTGCTCTTTTTACTTTGAATTAGCAAAAGAGACAGGGACTTTTACAAGTCTAGGTAGAAAATTAAACCTGGCTATGAAAAGTTTAAAATCACAGGTATTACTCAAGCAAGCCAAGAAATGACCAAAAGCAGGAAGGGTTTTGTGCCATTACCTTGCCAACCAAGGACACTGCGAGCAAACTCCACCACTGCCAACTGCATTCCCAAACAGACTCCTGGGGAAGGAAAGGCAGGACATGGAGCAGCTCAGGACAAGGAGCTCTGAGCCCAGGCTGCAAAGCACACACACCATCATAGAGTCTCCTGAGTCAGAGGAAAACCTGGATGAGGCAGATCTTTGACTGGAATTTAGCAGTCTGTAGTCCTGACAAGCTTTACTTCCCTCCCTCTCCCATCCCCTCTGCTCACAAACCAGTTCAGTCTCTCAGCACACACACTTTACTGAGATGCAGTCATGCATTTCTTGGTGCCAGGATCAGCACAGCCTGATCTGAAACACCCCCACACTGCTCTCCCCTCATTACAGACTCCTTGGCAGCACATCCCAGCCCACTCTGACCAATTCACAGCTAGCCAGGGATGAGAGTGCATTCCCAGCCCAGATCACTGCCTTCCTCAGACAACTGGCTGCAAACTGCTCATCCTAGACACCAGGGAAATTCAGGGGAGCTCCTGCTGCACACCAGTTAGGCTGCTGTTCAACCTCCTTTCCTTTGCTTTATTTCTTCTTATGGATGAAACATGTTTCTCACCTAAGAATGGTTTTTTCTGTTTTCTTGCCCAGGAAATAGCTTGAATTTTGCCTTCTGTGCCTCGAACACCAAATCCACCAGGAACCAGAATTCCACTGCATGAGGATGAAAAGATTCCATTCAGCATGGCTGCCCCAAGCCACACACCCACATATCAGCTCCCTCCCATAACATCCTGGGCTTACAAGACCTCTCTCCTGGAAAGGGCTCTGAAGTAGCCAAGTGCCAAGGCATGGCTGCAGCAGTTTCTACATCACATCAGCTGTCACATAAAGTGGAATTTATAGGGAAATATTTTATAAATTTTACCTTCCCAAAGAGAGATCCCAAATACATTGCAGGTTACCATACTGAAATGGTTTATGCTGTGGGACTCACAAAGCCCTAACACCAAACATGTTTGCAAACACATCACCCAGCCAGGACCATGCCTGGGAAACCTCTTGGCTACAGTGTCAGGATGTCCTAACACCAAACTCTGCAGGAGGTTCTTTCTTCTGATCTCACTCAAATCCTGCCACCCTGAGCAGTAACAGCCCCCACTTGCTGCTGTGCTAAGTTTTGGCACTCCTCTGCACACTAAGGCTTTTCCCCCCCTCAAACTTTATTTCTGAAGAACTTGTTACCCCATTTACACATCCCATTATCACTCTGGCTTTAACAGCCTTCACCAGTACCTTTCCTTTCTCCTCATTTCCTTTCACTGTTTGTACCTGATCATGCAGGTGTGCATATCCTCACCAGCATGATCATTTCCACCACATTTAACAATTCTCCATTTAACATCTTATCCTAAATGCCCCTGAGAGGTGTTTGGGGCCTTGTCAGACAATGCTGAGAACAGAGTCCAGTGAGGCCCTTAATTCCAATCTGTCAGCAGCAGCAGGTTCATCAGACATTCTCCAAGGAAAGGCCACAGCAGAACTTACTCAGCACCACAGAGCTTCTGCCATGCTTCGTGGTACCTCACAGGCTCCTCCTGCAGAGTCTCTGGCTCCAAGTCAGCAGAGTCAATGTACTGGGAAGAAATCCAAAAAAAAGGATGAGGAGATATTGCCACAGGAGTGTACAGGATCTCATGAATTCTAATTAAATTCAGATAGCATCATTCCTCCTGGACAGCTCTGGATTTGTTTCCTAATGAATACCTAAGTTTTTTTTGGGCTGATATCCCATCTGTTAGCCAACAAAACTCCTCTCCTCACCACCCTGCTCTTGGTGCACAGAGCCCATGATTTCTCTGTCCTCCCCTCTCTGCAGCTCTGCTGTGACTTACACCAATCCCTGAGCCCCAGCCTGTAATGTTAAATGTGAGCTGTTAATGCAGCACAGCAAGGTGGCAACATGGGGCTGTGCTGACACAAACCACCACACAGAGAGGAAAAAATACTATCCCTCTCTCATCTAATAAACATCTTCTCCAAGAGGCACTGAAGAAGAAATAGGGTATGGTGAAACACAGGGTGCTGTAATTAAAGAGTGCTATGACAATGGAAAAAAGCCCTGCAATTTTTCCATTTTCTCATCTCCAGTATCTCTGAACTTCTGGACGTTCTGGCAGGCTGCTAACCCTTTAAAAGAACCATCTTGTCCTTTTTTGTTTGTTTTTTGGAAATTGCAAAACTACCAATCAGTTCTTTAGCAAAAAAATCTCCATGCACAAGGCTCACAGAACTAACTTCACTTCTGAGCCACCCAGACACAGCTGTGGAATACCCAGAGATGCATGTGCAGGGTTTGCACTTTACCAGTCTTACTTTTTCTGCTTATTTTCAACTCTACTGATTTTGGAAATTGAAAGGAAACCCTGACCTAGAGCAGTACTGTTAAAAAGCAACCACCTATTTCCATGACTCACTGACATCATCAAACTGCTGGGCATTTAGAAGTCTATTGAAATGAAAATAAAATTTCTGGCAACAGGTACATATTCCATCTCTTCAGAGCATCCAGCTATGAGCAAGACCCTTAAAAGCATCTGTGCAGCTAAACCAGCATGAAAACCTTAATAAAGCCTGAGGCAGGAGCATCATAAAACCCGAGTACCACAAGGTTAACAGCAACAACCCCCCAAAAAAATCACCTGCAACAAGTGGTAGAGAAATTAAAGCAGAGAGTGCCCTCCTCCAATCCATCCAGCACACAACGCTGAGCACTGAGGAGTTCCCATCCACTCCAGACACCTCGTGCAGCTCACAGGAGGAGAGGCTGGTTTAGGTGTGATAACAGCTATTTTATTGCTATTTTATTGCTGTTATGATGTAGACAGGTGTTTTGATGCAAGGACAATTTGGATGTTAACTGGCTCAATCACTCCTCCCTTTCTGTCTATGGGTTTGTGAAAATCTGAATGAGGATGGGCAGCACTGCAGGTGAAGTAGGACAGGGGGAGTTTTTTCCCCACACAGACCCATCCCTACCTTAATGTCGAGTTTGTGGTTGATGGCCAGGGCAGAGTGCTCCAGGGCTTTGATGACAGATGCATAGGAGTCAGAAAATTTGGTGTATTTGCCCACCAGGGCAATGGAACACGTTTCAAGTAGACGGTCGTACCTACAGAAGCCCAGAACACACACAGGTTATTGCAGCAGTAACAGGACACGGATGGCAATCACTTCCATTCTCTTCAGATTCTCAGGGAACAAACAGCTGGCTCCTCAGTCTGTCCAACAGAGCTGACATCTTTGGAAGAGTGACCTTTTGTAATAATTATGATTTAGAAACATCAAAGTGAGATCAAAACCAAAACAATGAGGAAAAGAGTTGCAGAAAGGCACATATAAATTAACTCATGTCTCCTGGTGATGAAAAGCCATTTTGAGCAGATCCAAACTGCCTTTCCAGGAAGCTGTATTAGATTCAAAGGCTGCAGTGAACTCCTAGGAGAGGATCAAAGCACAGCTTGGTGAATGTTTGTGCTGCATGCCATCTTCCCATGCTGCTGCTGAGTTCAGAGCAGCAGCTACAAACACAGAAAGCGTTTCTGGAGTCCTAAGGCTGTGCTGCCCACACTTGCAATCCCTGGCAGCTGGCAGCACAGGATGCACACGGCATTCCTGGCCACAGCCAAGGGTTTGTTTCAAGAACTGCTAAATACCTACAAGCCCAGCTGGTGACCAAGGGTTTCCCCATCAACAGGAAATGTTATTGACAGGGCTGGCTTATGTCAGGCACAGAAATAAAGGAATGCATCTAGATCTTGAAAATTAATTTCTTATAAGAGCAAATATATTTAAGGCTTCAGTTGACATTCAAGCCCTTTCTGAAAAGATTCTATTCACTATTTCCCCATGAACATTGAGTGTACTCCTCAAAAGAAAAAACCCCAGTGTCCAAGGAGTCTCAGAACAGGTACCACTTGTCTTACTCACCTGAAAGCACACTCAAATGTATTTTTTATTGACACTCCTGACATGTCCATATAGCTACAACAGGATTTCAACACTTTGTAATGTTACTGAGAGTTTTTTTTATAAAAAGGGAGAGCAGAGTTGTCCAACTTTTAATCACTTCAAGCTAGGTTTGACTCAGACAGTACACTTCCAACATAAGATAAGTATCTCACTAAGTTTATCTCACAGGATTTTATGGAAAAAGGCTGAGAGAATTGGGGTGGCTCAGCCTGAAGAAGAAAAAGCTCCAGGGAAACTTGATGGCAGCCTTCCATTAAGAAGATTTATGAGAAACATGGAAACAGACATTTTAATAGGGTCTGTTGTGCCAGGACAAGTGGTGATGGTTTTAATCTAAAAGAGGGGAGATTTAGGTTTAGATATAAGGATGAAATTTTGTACAATGAGAGTGGTGAGGCACTGGCACAGGTCACTACAGCAGCTGTGGATGCCCCACCTTGGAAACATTCAAAATTTGGATGGGGCTCTGAGCAAAAGGAAAAAAACAATGTGAGCACGTAAGAACACTTGAGGAACAGGAAATAACACACAAGCAAGAACAGATCCCAATCCTGAGGTGTGCTGCAGGGTGCCCAGCACGCAGCTCACCTGTCAGCCATCTCCTTCCACTTCATGAGCATCCTCCTGGGCTGCCTCTCGATGGGAAGGTCCAGCCTGTGCCTGAAGTAATCCACAACTCCCTGCTCCTCCAACAACAGAGGAACCCGGTAGATGGAGGAGACATCATGAACACAAATGACCTGTTCATAAAAATAAGGGTGGCATTAAAACACAAGCATCCAGTGCTCTACAATCATTTTTACTCAGATATTCAGAGTTCCTGTCTCTAGCAGAAAATCATATGACCACCTAAACTTCCAAAGAAATAATATGTTGAGTAATACAACATATCAATAGCTTAATACTGGTTTCCTTCTGGTTGAAAAAGGCATTCTTCAGCACTTACTGCTCCCAGGAGCCCCTTGGGAAGGGCTATAACACAGTAACCAGCAGCAGAGTCAGCTGCCCAGCACATTATGTGAGCAGCACACAAAGTTCAAAGAACACTCCAGAGACACTCCTGTGATACAGGATCCCAAGTGAAGCTACAGCCAAACTGCCACAGGCACAGCTTCCCCCTTCCCACCACTGTCCCTCCTAACCAGGGCTCCCAGTCTGACTGAAACCCAGGGAAATCTGTGACCCCAGTACAGCAATCCACTTTACAGGGTGCCCCCCAGCAAATTTAGGATTACACAATTATAAGCAAAGAATTCTTAGGTTAATGAGGAAAATCTACATCAACAGTTCTAGTTCACTGAAATGGGAAAAGATGGTTCAGGACAACTGTCACCTGTCCATTAATAATGAACCTGTATTTTAAAGATCCAAAAAACACTGGCAAAACTTTTTTAAATCCTCACTTCTACTGATTCAAATGAAAGCAGAGCTCAACTTTGCAGCAGCCAAACCTCCTTGGCTGCACATTTTCTTTTTTTAGCCTCAGTGCTGTTTACTTCTCAATCCAAGTGCAACATCAGTCAGAGCAACAACTGCATAGAACTGCATGAAACTTCCTGGAAAGGGACAGGAGCCAGCTTATTTTGAATTCCTGGCCAAGAAGAGGTAGATATTTTACTGATGACACATCAACATTATTGCCAGCAGTGCAGTGCTTGAAATTGCAGGACTCAAGCTTGGTCTTGCTGTAGAGCAGATTAATAAAAATTACTTGACAGAACCTGGGATTGTGAAGTTATACTCAGTTTTTCACAAAAAGAAACATTTTTCGAGCTCCAGCTGGATTGGAAAGTACTAATACTCAGCCTACACACTTCTGACTATTTTCCAAGGTCCACAGTACAGTGTGTTAAGAGTCTCAGGATAGAAAGAATCGTGGAAACACGGAATTTGTGCACATCACAACCTTTAAAGTGAAGTAATGCTTCTCCCAAACACCATTTCAACCTCTCTGTGAAATCTCTCCTCAAGAATTCTTGGGCAGAAGAATAATATTATGAAAATAGTAGTGTATGAAGTACAGTCATATATCCTTTAAAACTAATTTTGGGCAATCCTTTTGCCTCTAAATACTGGAAAATCCCATTCTTTTATGTTCACATAAGGAATGTGGAATAATTAAGGTCAAAACAGTGATTCAGAAACCACCTTGGATTCCACAGAATTCTCTAAGCTTATACCAACCACCTTACAAGAAAACCTGGGTGCTGGCACCAAAAGAATTGGTTTAGCAACAGGTCCATGTGTGAGGAAGGAGCTGGAACTGCTGCACTGAGACAAAACTCCCCTCAGCATCTGACAAACAGCTCCAATATTTACTGCAAGGAAGCACAGCCAGCAAACCTTACCTGTTCTGGTTCAACATGACAGAACATGGAAATCTTTTCTTTTACTGAGGTATCCAGAGGAGTGGAGCACCTGCAAACAATCTAACAGAGCAGCAACATCAGGGTTGTGACACAAAACAGAAATACTCAGGCATTCATAAAATAAACCTCTAAATAGAGTGGTCTTTGTGCACTCTCTGTGATTTGAGAAAAAAACCCCACAACTCCATTTCTTTTCCTTATTTACAACATCACCACTATACAAGAGCTCTCAACTTCAGCATTACTTGAACAAGACTGCTGTTGCAATGTGCCTGATTTTTACACTCAAAGCCATGCAACACAAACCTTACCAGATCTGGAGAGAGCCCGAGACCTCTGAGCTCACGAACACTGTTCTGGGTGGGTTTGGTCTTCTGCTCCCCTGTGGAGCTTGGCTGGTCAGAGAAGAGCAGTTGGTGTATCAGATTGTGATAAGCAACAAGGAATCAGCAGGTTCATCAGGACTCTCAGACATCTCATAAAAACTTTGAATGAGTTCTTGGACAATTCACATGAACCTCATGTAGCCCATTTTAATTCCCAGGACTGAAAGCAACAGCAGGAACCCAAGTTCCAATCTGCCCATAGTGCAGGAAGGAGACGGACAGAGAACATAAGGTTTATCCACTGCTCCCTCCAAATACTTCATGTTTTGTATTTCTAATTTTTCTCTCTAAATCACCTGGCCTGGACAGAAGGGGAAAAAGAGAGAAGAGAACAAAGACTGATCTGCACTCCATAATTATCAATTTACTCTGCCAAATCCAGTTCAGTCTGACACAAGGAATGCTCATGCTGCATTTCTGCAACTCCCAAGCCTTTATTTATTACCCTTTAAAAAGTTCCTGTTCGATTCCTCCAAGACTTTCTAAATACACAAGCATATAAATCTCTGCATTTCTGCCAGAAGTTTATATATACACAGAAATACAAGAGTAACATCACTCAGCATTTCAGAAACACCGATTTAGGAAATTTTGGACTGAGGAAGCCTCTGACCACCAATATGTTTCAGGTCCTTACCTGGGGAACCAGACTGACGTGAATGTTACAGAAATTCTCTCTTTTGGCTTTGAACTGGAACTGGCGGAAGGCCTCGATGAAAGGCATGCTCTCAATGTCCCCCACGGTGCCCCCGAGCTGGCAACACACACACAGGGGAATTAAAGTTACTGCCACAACAGCACCTGGTCAAAGGGCACACTAAAGACATGAAAATATACATAACAACACACAAACACCTCCCCAGCACATCCCTTTGACTGCCTAAAGGAGCATCAACACCAACACAGCTTTCTCCCAAGGGCCAGCTCCAATCTCTGCTATGACCAGGGAAGGGCTGGAGCTGGGCCAGGGCAGGCTCAGGCTGGAGATGAGGGAAAGGTTCTTCCCTCAGCCAGAGGGTGCTGGGCACTGCCCAGGCTCCCCAGGGAATGGGCACGGCCCCGAGGCTGCCAGAGCTCCAGGGATGGTCAGGGGGGATTGTTGGGGGGTCTGGGCAGGGACAGGGGCTGGGCTGGATGATCCCTGTGGTTCCTTCCAGCTCAGGATATTCTGTGATTCTATTCCACTCAAAGCACCAGGATTTACCAGCTGCATACACTACTTTCACAGTCTCCAATCTACTCCAGGTACTATTCTACCTTCATCATTTCCCCACAAATCAAAAAGCCACAAGAAAAACAGCTTCCCCCATGGGCAGCACCTCTCCAGAGACATCAGCTTCACCTCTTATTTTCTCTTCAGAGAAAAGACTTAGATGTGAAAATTATGATTTATGAACATTAGGTGGCACTGAGAAGCAAAATTTCTGTTAAGTTTTAGGAACTATATAGAGTGGACACATAGAGGAACAGATACAAGACTACACTTGGAGCCTCCCAGGCCCTGTCACAGTGCCTCCTTGGTACTTCACATCTGGGCTTGTGATCCTGGCACAGAAACTGGCACCCAAGCTGCAGGCAGAGTCCAAGTCACCATGACCTGGGCTCTGTGACAAGCTCCCTCTCCTGCATCAGCATATCCCAGCAGCCAGTGTCAGAGCCCTGCTCCATCTCCTGCTGGCAGCAGAACGTTCCATAGCCACACTGAAAACTGCCACCACTAACTTGTGCCATTCCCTGTCACATGTCTGTGCTTGAACTGGTCACTTTGAGGAGGAAAGACACCCGTTTCCAGAGGGGGATTTACCTCCCCTCCCTCCATCCACCAAGGAAGAAGAGGGCACAGCACAATTAACTCAGGCTGGCATATTAAGTTACAAGAGCTAAAAAATTCATTCTGTAAGTTAATTCATAGAATATCCTGAGCTGGAAGGGACCCACTAAATCCAGCCCCTGTCCCTGCCCAGACCCCCCAGCAATCCCCCCTGTCCATCCCTCGGGGCCGTGCCCATTCCCTGGGGAGCCTGGGCAGTGCCCAGCACCCTCTGGCTGAGGGAAGAACCTTTCCCTCATCTCCAGCCATTCCCTGGGGTATTGAGGGGCTGACCCTCATGAGGCAGCTGCAGGTTGCAGTTCAAAAGATTAGAGTAAGCAAAGTTAACAAGGGGAATCTTTAACCCATTCAATAACATGCAAAGTGGAATACTTCTGTAAAGAAATATGCAAAATATGCATATAGGTCAGGTTACTACATACAAGAAACAAAATTACCTACTTTCTCAAAGTTACAAACCTCAATCACACAAACTTGGGGTTCAATGCCATCTTCATCCACAGGAATTCGTGCCTGCCTCATTACCCATTCCTGTATGGCATCTGTGATGTGGGGAACAACTGGAAAAAAAAAACCCAGGCAAGGGTTAAAGCCCCACACACACGTTTCTCCCTCTTAACTCATTACAAAGAAAATTACTGACAGTCACTAGCCAGTTCTTCCCATAGGGCTTGAGCAGGAATTTGTGTCTTTAAAGAACTATGCATTTTTGAAGTGGTTGTTCTTGGCTGTGATTTTCAAGCGCCTTGGCAGGAAATGGAACCCTGCCTTAATTTAAACACATGTAAGCAACACTTCCTTTAAACTGAAAGACTCAAGCACAAACTGTTCTTTGCTCTAAGGAGAGAAAGTTACTCTGTTTTTAACCATCTGTAAAAGCCCTATTGTCAACCAGCTGTGGAGAGTGGTTAAAAAGGGAAGGGACTGATCTGACACTCACAAATCCTTTCGGTTTTCTAATGACATGAGTTAAGAAAAGCATCAACCATTTTAACCAGCTAACAAACAACCTCAAAGTGTATTGGTGTGAAGTCTGTTCACATTTATCACTGGGTACATTAGACAGCTGGACCCAAGTCCAGCACAGTCTAAACACAAGCATGTGTTTGGGATGGTGCAGAGCCTCAAGTGAAGATGAAAGGCAATAGCATCCAGCCAGGACTGAAATAGAGAATGCATTTCTAAGCACCAGGAAAGAAGTTTTTGCATCACCTTGGACCGTTTTGCCCAGATAATCTCCCTTCCTCTCCTTGTTAATGACATACTGGTAGATCTTCCCAGTGGTCAGGTTGTTGTCTTTGGTGAGTCGGATATCGAGGAAGCGCTCGTAGTTCCCGAGGTCCAGGTCCACTTCTCCTCCATCATCCAGCACAAACACCTCCCCTGCACAGAAACGGGCACAAGCACACACATCAGGCATGTGGAAGAATTCAATATAAGGAAAATCCTTCCCTGATTGCCAGAGTTTAGGAGTGGCAAACAGAACTAAAAGCATTCTATAACCGAGAGAACAGCACACTGGGGACTGAGTCCTTAAGGCAGCAGCAAGAACAGGCCAGAGCACATCTGTGCTGTGATCTG